AGTGCAGAGTTGAATGAACAAAGTATATTCCCTTTACCACTGTGTTCTCCTCCTGCTGTAGAAAGGTTACTCCATGGAGCTGTGATGTATCTGCTATGCTGGACACACACAATTATAATACTCTGCAATAAAGACTATGTGGGATGCATAAGATTTTACTTGAGCAGAGAATGATGGGCCAAATTCTAGGGTAAAGAGGATGGGGAGTCAAAGATGTTCAGAGATGACATTTTTTAGAATGAATAATAGTTGGACAATAGAGAGAAAGAATCACCATTCCCAAAGATGGAAATGACATATGCAAAGGCATACAGACACAAAATTTCATGACTTATTCAGTGAATAACAAGTAGTTCCGTTTTTCAGAAAGTTAAATGTGAAGGAAGGGACTGGTAGGAAATGAAGCTTAAAAGGTAGGCATAGCCAGACCATGAATAGTTTAGCCAAGTTTATATTCTGGCCAATAAGTAAGAGAAAGCCATCAAGTAATGTTAAGCAAGAGGGGATGAATGCATTTGTGTTTTAGAAATACTGCTCTGGCAATGAAAAATGAACTGGAAGAGATACAGCCTAGAAGCAGGGACACGTATTAGGCAACTAAAAAGTTCAGGAAAGAGTCTAACCTAGAGCAGTGGGTGATGGAGAGAAAAAGACTGACTCAAAAGATATGTAGGAGATATAACTATACGTCTTGATAATCAACTAGGTTGTGGGTTGGTAGGAAGGTAAGTGAAAGGAAGGAATCTAGGCAAATCCAAGGTTTCTCTCTTGAGTTCTGGGTGGATGGAAGCACCATTAACTAAAACAGGACACAGAAGGTAAAAACAAGGTAAAGATAAGGAAAAAGTCAGATAGTATTGGCACATACTTCTGGTACATCCAAAAATGTCTAATAAACAAATAGGTAAGTCTAGATGCTCAGGAGAGAAATCTAACGGAAAATACAAAATTGGGAGGTGTCATCGAGGAGAGTGGATGAAACTGCTTAGGGAAATGTATACAAAAGGATAGAGCCAAAGATAAAGTTCCAGAGACCAGGGCCGGGCATAGCGGCTCACACCTGTAATCCCAGCACTCTGGGAGGCCGAGGCTGGAGGGATTGCTTGAGCCCAGGAGTTCGAGAACAGCCTGAGCAAGAGACCCTATCTCTAAAAAAAAAAAAAAATTTCCAGAGACGATCTATAAAAAACACAGACAGAAGAACAAAAACTAGGAGAGAGTGATGACAGAGAAGTTTGTAAAGGAGAGAGTTTCATGAAGAAGGGAGTTATCAATGCACTGAATGTGGCCAGGTGCAGTGGCTCAAGACTTTAATCCTAGCACTCGGGGAGGCTGAGGTAGGAGGAATGGTTGAGCTCAGGAGTTCAAACTAGCCTAAGCAAGAGGGAGACCCTGTCTCTACTAAAAATGGGAAAAATTACTCGGGCATCGTGGCATATGCCTATAGTCCCAGCTACTCGGGAGGCTGAGGCAGGAGGATTGCTTGAGCCCAGGAGTTGGAGGTTGCAGTGAGCTACAATGACGCCACTGCACTTTACCGGGGGCAGACTGAGAATCTGTCCCAAAAAAATAAAAAGAAAGCACGGAATGTACTAGAGAGTACCAATTTGCAAATTGAGTAATTGGTGACTTGAAGAGAGGTATCAGAAGGTTGATAAACAAAGCTAAACTAGACAGGATTGAGTGAACGGCAGGGGAGAAAATAGAGACAACAAAGTTTGGCTGAGAAGAGAGTAAAAACTTGGTAAGACTGAAGGTTGAACAGTATTTTTAGGATGGTAGAGATTTTAGCATTTTTATAGGATGAGAAAGGGACTAGTGTAGAGTGAGATTTTTAAATTTTACCTTGTCCTTGAAATCCGTATATGAAAAAGTTATTCATAATACAACGTTAAGTGAAAAAACAAGTTGCCAAAAGGTACAGTATGATGTCACTTAAAATTCAGACTCCTTTTGATGGCCCTCAAGGCCTCTAGGTCCTTTATGACCTGGTCCATGCCTACCTCTGGCTTCATCATATGCCATTCTCCCCGTCATTCATTATGTCCCAGCAACACTGGCCAATCTTTCTGATCCTTCAACATGCAAGCCTATTCTTGCCTCAGGGGTTCTGCACTTGCTGTAACTTTTATCAGAATGCTCTTCTCCCTGTCAATAGCTAGTTTCTTCAAATCACTCAGATCTCAGTTCAAACATCCCTCCTCAGAGAGGCCTACCTGTACGTAACATTTCATATGCCTTCACCCCAGCCCACAAAAGTTACTGGCATTACCTTGTGTTAGCAACTACCATATCTGAAATTCCTATTTGTTTACTTGTCCATATGTAAGCTCTGGAAGAGAGATTTCATCTTCCACATACCCATATATTGTTCACTACATATTCCTGCTGCTTAAAATAGTGCTTGGCACATAGTAGGCACTCTTGTTGAATGAAAATCTACATGTACACAGATGTATTTACATGAAAAATATTAAGAAAGTTCTGAAAGAATCTAAAACTTATTTATACCAACAATGAGCATGAGACTAGGAAGAGAGGCATACAATAATCATCTTTTTTTGCTTCATCTCTATCTGAACTTTCTGCAAAAATCGTGTCTTTTGTAACTGAAAAAAAAAATTTCTTAAATAATGATCATGTGAGCCTAAGACAGTCAATCTATTACGCTTCTCTATTTTCTTTTGGTGAGCTGTAATGATCTAATTACCTGTGGAACAAGAGAGTAAATCTGATTGCAGGCCCATCCTTGAGCTGTTTTGGTAAGGTAGTTCAAAGCTAGAATCTTAAACCTTGGAGCTGTAAAGAGTTTAGGGATCATCTAATCCAATCCCCTGATTTTACAAATGAGGAAGCAGACTCAGAGTAATTTAATTAATAAAAATAGGGTATTGATGAAAAATTTTCAAACATCAAATGATTAAGAACTATTTAAAAGAGTAATCTATTATATGTTATACATAATTTAAATGATAACTAATAAAAGCCTACTAAAGCTTACTCTCACGTATAACCTACAATCTTCTAGTGAAAATTATTACTTAAGGTAAAACTATTTCCCTAAGCGCACTATTTGACCAATGAACCCTATGGTTAAGCATCATAATATGACAAAGGATTTGGAATACATGCACATAGGGACTGAAAATTATTCACTCTTGAAACCCTGACACCGTTAGGTGTGTAGACTAACTGAACTAGTAAGCCATTCTTTCCACCACGGTATACAACATGTTAAGTATATCATACATTTAAGGATTATACTTTTAGTCAAATTTTTTAATCAACTTCTACCATGTGTATTTAATGGAATAAAAATTAAGTGTTAAATAGGTAAGAAATACACTACTAAATATCATTTACAGAAAGGACTTAACTATTTCTCTTTACATACATACTGTAGTTGACCAAGAATACAACAAATTTTGTCTAAACTTCTGAATAACACCACTTTATATTTGTTTAACAAACTATGTCATCTGACCATTGCAACAACCCCACAGACAGCAGATATTATTATCCCCATTTAGCATGGAAGAGTTAGGCTCAGAGGTCAAGCAATTTGACCAAGGTCATGCAGACAAGTGCTAGGACCCAGATCCTCTACCTCTTAGCCGTTTTTCTTTCTATCACCCAGGCTACCTCACATTTACTATTTACTATAATGCAAAACACTTTATAATTTTCTTCCATATCAGCGGAGGTGAGGAAAAGTACCAAAACTCTTAGCATTCCTATCCTATTCTATCCGAAATTTTTGTACAGAACATTATTCATCTTAATATTGATGAGAAAGATGTAAGAGTCACCTTAACTGTGAATTGTGCTCATCAGTAATTCTGAATGAAATTCTACCAAATACTCAATTATCTTCTTAATCATAATAAAAGTACACACTTATTTAGACAGCACTCTACAAATGATACTCAAAACAGTGTTAAGAAAACGGCTTTATAGTTGGGAAAAAAAAATGTGAAACCACATCTTAGTCTACTACTCACTAACTGTTCAACTGTGGGTACATTTCTTAACTTACTTGAGTCTCATCCTCCTCCTCCATAAAATAAGGATAACACCATCTGTCTCTGTGAGTTGTTGGGATGGTATATGTGGAAAGCATTTAGCTCTTAGAAAATGGCCAGATCATACTGTTGTTAGAGAAACAAACAGATGTAGGTAGGTACTGCTGATAGGTAATGTCATTTAATTTAGTACATTTATTTACTAGTTTAACTTCCAGTGTGCCCTTATTTTTTTCTGCCAAATATTTGGGGCAGGACACAATACATCACTCTTGCTCCCAGGGAACCACTTAAAGTGAGAGTTGGATTTCACTCCTCTTCTAACCCCTGTAATTAAGCAATACATTAATAATCTATTATTTGACTATCTTGAAATTGGTTACATCTACATCAAAGTTTACACTATTTTGACGCTTACTCTTTATCTGAGTCAACTAACTGCATCTTTCACTCCATTTTGATGTAAAACTAATAAGACAATTTTATAAATATAAATCATGATCACCGAATTCATGTTTGGTGAAAACAGTAGGAAGTCTTCCGGGGGAGTGGAGAGAGGGATCTAACACTGAGAAATCATGTATTCGGTAGTCCATTATGTACTAATTTACTTTCTCTTTTAATCTTCACAAGCATCATTCTAGTCAATATTAGCATGGTTTTATAGATCAGGAAAATGAAGTTCTAACCCTTGCTCTCTTCTCCATGTTCAAGGTGCTCTAACCACCCTAACCTACCTTCCTAAAAGGAAGGCTTTTATTCAACTCAAGGCCTTTGCCCATAATCTCTGCCCAGAAAATGCTCTCCTGTCTCTCTACAAGGTCATCTCCTTCTCCTGCTTCAGGTCTCACCTCAAATAGTTACCTCCTCTGACCATTCAATCTGAAGTAGGTCATACCAATTTCTCCACCCTATTTCCTTAAGAGAACACAAAATGGTCTGTATTCAACTCCTTTTTATGTTTAAGGGTAGGGATACTTTGACTTATTGCTGCTGTATCCTGGTTGCTCAGCATAGAGGAAGATGCTGGCTTACTGGATGAATGAACACATCTGCTTACAGCCATTTAGCAAGCAACTAGCAAGGCCTGCAAACCAGTCCAAGTAAAAATGCCTGCCAAGCTCCTGCACTGCCCTAATACTACTTTTTTCACAGGTGGGAGCAGAGGTGCTTTAGGCTGGGAAATCAATTAAGAGGTGTGCCTTGCTGCTTTCTTATATTCATTCACTTCAAAGAAATTACAGACCTACACATATACTTACTGCTACAAAATATTTAACCCAAATTTCAAGAGCTATCACATTGCCTTTTAGAATCACAACTCAATTTGAAAAAACACTGCATTTATGATGCCCATTAACAACATAACACTTCAAAACTGTTGAGTAACTGGCATATGAATAGTTATTTAAGGCTAAAAGAAAATTAAGTCACATAAACAAATGCACTTTACTAACAATCTTGTAATAGTTTGTCTTTTTATAAGTTGTTTTGAATTTCACAATACATCCTGCAGAAAAATTTTAAAACCTGCCATAGGATATCGTTCTGATAGTGGTGTTCTTTCTTAAAGATGACACAAGCACTCACTGTTGCCTTTCGCTGTTAAAACAAGATCTTGCAGGTAAAAGCCCCCTCATGTAAAACGCTAAGCGCGGCTAAAGCAGACCACTAGCAACATTCCTTTTGTTACCTTGCCTACAGGGTTTAATACTTACTGCTGAGTCCTCCATCCTCGGGTACTCCTGTCCCTCTCATTCCTAGGTAAGTCAGTCCCAGTATTAGGAAAAATAAGCAGGCAGCAGTTAAGAGAAACATCGACAAGTAGTGGGCACTGAAACTCCCCGTTGGGGACACCTCTTCCCGTTTAAATTGCTGGAGAAGTTCCTCTTCAGGTTCGGAAAGCTTCGGCTTGCTGTATGTGTTTTTCAGGTAGGTATGATTGGAGCCCGTATGATTGGCATGATTGATCCTGAGTGAACTAGAGGCGGCCACCGCCGCACTGGGAGGGAGACTGTTGGAATAAATCCTGGGGGAGTCCACACTGAAGGCCCCACCACCGATATGATTATTGGTTTTAAGAAGGGAGCCTGTTGAAGAATCCAAGGTTGAGTCCATGTCAGTAAGTGGTGGGGGCAGGAGAGGGGCCAGTTTCTTAGCATTAACACGGTATCTAGGAATGGGGCTGGAGTCCACTAGATCACACCCTCCTCCCTGCTCCGCCGCCGCCGCCTCTTCGAGGTTTCGGCTCCTGTCTAGACTCCCGGCAGCCGCCGCCCTGTCATTCATCGCAAGTCCTCCCCCTCCCTGAACTGAAGTCTCCAGCCGGCTGCCGGCAGATTTAGCAGTCAGCGGAGAGAGAGGCTTACTATGGGTCCGTCTGGGCCGATGCCGGGAAAGGGTGTCGTCCTTAAATACCTGCCTGGTGGAGGCCACGTCGTCATCCCCCTCTTCCTCCGAATCTGAATAGTTTTCCCGGCAGCTGTAGGGAACGAGCCGGCTGCCATTCACGGTCCGGCTGGCCCACAGCGGTTCCTCAGCCTCTGGGTCCCTCTCTTCACTGTCCTCTCCCTCCCCTTCCTCGTCCTCCACTGCTCCATCTTTCCCCGACGGAGTCTGCAGCTCAGAGCCCGCCGGCCTCCTGGCCCCCCACCATGAGTGGGGCTTCCTTCGCTCGGCCGAGCTGCTGTTAGTCACCTCGCTGGCGGCCAGGGGCGCCGGTGGCGCTTTGAGTCCGCGGTACTGGAGCGAAGCCCGGTCTTTCCTCCCGCCGCCGCCGGCCTGGTCCCGGGGACTGGCTTCAACGTCCGACTCGTCGGAGCTGAAGCCCAGCAGCACTTTGCTGCCAGCCGCGGGGGCGGCAGAGGCGCCCCCGGGCCCTCCCAGGAGGCTCTCCGGGCCCGAGGCCGAGATTCGGCCCAGACCCCCAGGGGTCCGTAAATAGGAGAGGTCGCCCGAGACCGGCCGTACCCCCATCCCCACGGCCGCCGCCGCTGCCGGTCCCGCGGCTGCGACCGTGGCGGCTGCCGTGTTATTGTTATTACTGTTCCGCGTCTTGTTGCCGCGGCCCCCCGACCGGTGCTGCAGCTGCTCTTCCTCTCGAAGCTTCTTCAGCTTCTTGAGGTAGACAGGGCGGGTGCTCTCCGTCACTGGGCCCGGAGACAGGCCGTAACGGCGGAGCTGAGAGAAAAGCTCTTCATCCGAGAGCTGCTGAGGCGCCGAAGCCGCTGCCGCCGCCATTTTCTCTCCAGGGTGTTTTACAAGCTCCGCGCTACCGGAAGTGACGCGCCGCCCTAGACCCTGAACTAGACCGGGCTGCGTCGCCCTCCCAGCGCCACTGGCGTCTCGGCCAATGGGAGGAGCGGGAGGAGCTCACCTGAGCGGGAAAGGGCCACCTGAGCGGCGCGCGGCTCCCGCGGCGGAGAAGGTTTCTACAGCCTCACCTTGGGGTTCCTGCGCATTCAACCCCTCCTCTCTGTCTCCTTCTCCTGCTGTTCTCCGTCCTGCCCTTCCAAGTGTCATTCCTGGGAGCTGTCTCTTACTAAAACACACCTTGACCTCTTCCTTCCAGGTTCCTGCCACCGGGCAGTAATAATTGAAAGGAAATCTGCCTTGAAGTTCATGCCATTAGTTTTCTTTTCATCCAGATTCTTGCTGACGAGGGAGCCTAGAGAGACTGAAAGAAATCCTAATAGCCAGACTAGATTGGCAGTTTTCCTGTATGATTGAAGGTTGTCTCTTTTCAGTTTGTCTTTTGGCTTGACGTACCAAAAAAAAGTGACTTTTTCTCGCTGCTGTTTTTCAGAAGCCTCTCCTGTCCCGTTTGGAAAAGATACACACCAGTCACGATACAGTTTTCTTCAACAGTAATGGCTATTCATTCATCAGTTGATTGTAAGGTATTATTAATATTTCCGTTTTTGAAATCTGATAATCTCACTAGGTCATCATTTTTAAAAGTGAAAGAGCCTATTGTCTGCTTCATTTTAAGGCTTTGAAAGACACAACCCATCATCCTTTTTAATTCCTTCTTAGCGCCTTTCCAATCAGTAGTTATTTAATTATTAATAAATATTTTTATTTGTTTATTTTAGAAATTATTTTGTTTATTGTCTTATCCCTTTGGACTGTAAACTGCATGCACAGAGGAACCTTGCTTCTATTATTCACGATACTAGTAGAAGCTCAAGAAACATATGTTGAATGAATTAATGAATTGCAAAACTATGGTAGTATGAGATGGATATTTTGACATGAGAATAGTGTCAAGTGAGGTAGAGAAAAACCGAAGTCGAAAAACCAGAGACAAGACCTGGAAATCAACCCGCCCATAGGAAATCAATCCCAGAGAGGTGTAATTTGCCTAGTTTGGTAAAGATCTCTTTCCATTTCCTCAAACCCTGGCAGAGCAGACACTTCTTGAGTACTTCAATACTACAGGCTACACAGCAGCACTTAATATAATATCTGACACACTACAATAATATTTTGTTTCGTAAGTTGTTTTACCTATTACATGAACAAACATCCATAGATGAATGTTAGTCAAAAGCATAGATGCTAGTTTTTCAACATCCTAATTACAACAGCAGAATAATACTTAGTAACTTTAATTTTTTACTTTTCCTAGCAAAAGCTTGCTATCTCCTCAAAAAAAGCTTTTATGTGGAGGGGCACTTCCTTGTCCTTTATCATTGAGACTTTAAAATTTACAAAGATTCCTGAATCTATGACTGTTTTGCATTTATAAGATTGTTTAGCACAATAAATTATAGTGGCTATGATGATGATGACCCAAAATTTATTGCCATTATTATTTGGGTGGGGATTCAGAGTTATTGCAAAGTTGCCAGACTTGTGTCTGAGTATAGCAGAGTGGTTAATCTGTGAGCTTTGGAGTTAAAAGTGGCTATGGACCCAGCCCTGTCTTTCACTTTTATTCTTAGTTCAACATTTGTTTCATACCCTACTGGCTCTTCAGGTAGGAATCATAGAGATCTGTTTGTTCAGCCTCTGATTTTCATGAATGTTTATATGTCCTCCTGGAAGGATTGTTGGACCATATATATTTTTGCCTGTTGACTTTGGGCAAGTTACTTAATCTTTCCAAGCCTTAGTTTATGTATACAAAAAAGAGGGATGATAAACCTTCCTTAGAAGGGTGTTTTAAGGATTACATGAAATTTTGCCTGCGTAATGCTTAGCACCATACCTAACTCACAGTATGTACTCAATAAATTTTCGTCAATAACATAAAGCTAAGTATTGTGTGCATCCATTTCAGTAGCATGGCTCCTGAGTACTCCATGTAACAGCAATTAAAGAAAATGCTACTGCACAGACAAAAATAGAAATGGTCAAACTTTGCCCAAGGAATTAAATAATCCCAGTTAAGAGACAATGAAGATCAAGGGCTTTGGTAAACATCGTTCTCAGTCATTCCAGCCCTTGCGGGCAGCAAGGTTTAGAATAAACTAGAAACCAAGGTCTCTAGTCTCCAACTTATGTGACTTAGGGTAAATATTAGGCTCTTAGAACCTCAGTTTATTCTTTTTTAAAATGTTGATAATATTTCTTACCCTAGGTGGAAACAATTAGTATGCAATAAATATTTATTGAGAATGATGAATGAGCACTGTTTATGAAAATGCTGTTCAAATATGTTGTATGTGTGTTAGGATTATCACCAGATAATAAAAATAATGACAACTACAACTTATAAAGAACTTCACTTAGAACTTCACTTACACTTCACAAAGAACTTTCATATATATGGCCTCATTTAGTCTACAAGAAACGTTTCCTCTCTGAAGATACCGAGGTCATGATTTATTTAGCATGGAATCATAAGGGATTATCATTTTCTTTGTTTGGTGTTTGAGCAGACCCAACACTTTCTCAGGAGAACTTTCACTGCTCAACACTGTCACTGCTCACTTCCAACATTCTCCTCATTTGCCAATGGATCTTACTCCGTCCGTCTTCCAGATTGGCTAACTTTTAACTACACCCAGATACTTGACAGGCAGTGCCATCTCAAACTCATTCCTCTCCCACAGCTTCCAAAAATTTGACTGAGGGAAATGTTATGATGGAGTACAGAAAGATAGGCAGTCCTTCTCCTCCTCTAGATGTTTTTAAACTTTATCTCTGCCATAAGCCTGCTCATCAAAGACCAATGTAGCTTGGGCTATATTACTAACATCCCATTCCTCCTACTCTCTTTTCTCCCTCCCCCGTTGCCAGTAGAATAGCTTTCACCATGTCACCCTTTATAGTGGTGATATCAGTTTGTATTGAAGGACCAATGTAGCTTGGGCCACATTACTAACATCCCATTCCTCCTACTCTCTTCCTCCCCTCCCCCATTGCCAGTAGAATATCTTTTTCCATGTCACCCTTTATAGTCATGATATCAGTTTGTATTGAAGGACCTTCTAAAGAATGATGTGAAACCCAATCTTTATCTTCAAATAAAGATATTGCTGAGGGTTCATTTCCTTAAGGAATGTTCTTTCTGGTCTCAGTATTGGAAATAGTTGTATATTTTTCCAAAGCAACTCATTTGTTGTTTTGTTTTTTGCTTTGTTTTGTTTTTTATTGAAGTGAAATTTACATAAAAAATTTTAAAGTGCACCATTAGTGATATTTAGTACATTCATGATGTTGTGCAACCATCACTTCTATCTAGTCCCAAGACATTTTCATCACCCCCAAAGGAGACCCCGTACCCATTAAGTCACTATCTATTTCCATTTCTCCCCAGTCCCTGGAAATCACTAATCTACTTCCTATCTCTATGTATTTAACTATTCAGAATATTTCATATATTAATAAATGGGGTCATATATTATGCGACCTCTTGCATCTGGCTCCTTTCACTTAGCATAATGTTTTCGAGGTTCATCCATGTTGTAGCACATATCAGTGCTTCATTTCTCCTTATGGCCATAATATTTCCTTGAATGGATACATATTTCATTTATCCATCCATCCATTGGTAGACATTTTGGTTGTTTCCACCTTTGTTTATTGTAGATAATGCCACTTTGAACATTGGTGTACAAATATCTGTTTGAATACTTGTTTTCAATTCTTTCGAGTATGTACTTTGAAGTAGAATTACAGATCATATGGCAATTCTGTGTTGAACTTTTTGAGAAATCACAAAACTACTCATTTGTTTTTAACTTTATGGATACATTAAAGCAAATAAGAAGGAGACCATTAGCCCGATGTTGTCTCTGCACCTGGAGCTCTTATGTAATCAAACTGAAATTTAACTTGGAGGCATTTCTTCTAACTGACTTAAAAAAAAAAAAAAGACCAGCCTCAGCCAATCCAAACAGCCAGCCAGCTGATTGGTTATATAACGAGGGACTTCCCATCAGACCATACCCAAATAAGGCAAACGCTTAGCTGTGGCCAATTAGGTAATTACTTTGCTTCCATGTTCAGCCTATAAAAGTTCCCTGCTCATGCTGCTAGATTGGCACTCATAACCTCTTTTTTTTGTTTTGGGGCTTCCCAATTCATTAATCATCCGTTTGCCCAAGAAAACTCTATTAAATTTATTTTGCCTAAAGTTTTTCTCTTAACACATGGACACTGTTGGTTTGATCACTTGCCATGTTTCCCTCTTTGAGACAACAGCTAAGAAGTTTAGATTCAAATTTGCATCCCAATCATAGCAAGTTTATAGGGCTACATAGCACAAATTTTATAAATTAATCTAATTGCTGACTCCATCTAAATTTCCTAACTTTATTTTCATGTGCTTCATTTTAAACATTTTAAAAATTTTTACTTCATCTTTCTAATATTATATGCATCTTTTTAGCTGCCTTAAATTATTTGGGCAATACCATATAATTCATCTGACAACCCAAAGAATAGGTTTTATTAGTCATCATCTTGTATAGATGAAGAAACTGAAGGCTAAAAAAATGATTTGACTCAAATCTCACAATAGTCAAATAAGAAACTGAAACCCAGGATCTCTGAGTCCAAATTCCATGTTCTTTCCACTACACAATATCAACTCTTGAATACATTACTTGAATCATACAGTAATATGTGTAAAAATAAACTTAGTTCCCTCTTTTCTCACCCACTCTAAAGAGGAAGGAGTCTGTAATGGGGTGAGGAAGAGGACAAAAGCTTTTGCAGTTAACCTGTTTCTTAGCTTTGTTGCTCCATGCAACAACTGGAAAGAAAACTCAGAAATATAAAATGGATTATATCACTTAACATTTTAGCAGATCAAA